AATTTCAAAATTTACCAAATCAAAACGACTTGATACAATTATAATTACAAAATAATCTTATCTTGTATAATAACGGATTGAAACAATAATTTGTCTATAAAAATAAACAGGTACAGTATAATATTTATAGGCTTATCAGAGTATTGGCTCACTTATGATTCTGACAGTCGTCGTGCCGCATGCACACACCAACAATATTCGAAATTGTATTTACTTTTAAATTAGATAATAACAGTATTATTCGTTATTATGGCAATTACAGTTAGTCATGGTCTAATACTTCTAAATGATTATTCAAGAATTAAATCAGTGGCGGGCTAAAGGTGAGTGGTTGGGGGGGGGGAGGCCTCCCCGCCCTATTTTTTAAAATAATTATTAAAACAAAAATGGAGAAAAAGGGAAAATTAGAGGCCAAATTCAGGTAGTGCCGACAATCTAAAGGTGCCATAATCATAAATGTCCATACGTCAGCCCCAACATGGTGGGACTCAGATGGTTGAGACCCTGGGCCGTTTGTGAAAGTCCCTTCTGATTACCCTCTCTTTCGAATACCGGGATCCGCCACTGTAGTGTTTAATTGGATTGTTAGGCTTGTGTTAGACAATGGTTAGACAATACTGTTACGATGCCTACAGTTCTTTGACCTACCGTAATTTTATGTAAAAAGTTAAAGACATTGTATTTCGGTTCTCTATTAAACTTGAAACAACATTGGGATCGGGAAATAGGAATGAATTGTATTAGTACAGACGATATCAATGTATTGATTATTCACTGCCAACATCTAACAAAGCATTCATACTACATTCAATAATGAAGACTTTGAACGTTTCAATTGATTTCATGTGGGGAAACCCTCTCAATAATTTTACAATGTTTACATTGCTGTCGGCGAAACGCGTCGTCGGGCAAAACTTGAATGACGAAAATCCCCTTTTTATAGTGAATGTTTAAGCTGTCGGGAAAAAATGTTTAGAAATCAAATATTGTCTGTCTGTCAAAACAACTCAACAATTTACTGTATTTGAAAATTTATGTCAGTCAACTGGCTTTCAGTATATTGGCTGTAAGAATTGGCTGCTGCGAAACGTCCTGTCGGCGAAATTTTCTCTTGATGACGAAATGACGTGTGGTGTCTGGCAGCGAAAGTTCAATCGGCCAATCGTCTGTAGGCCGAACGTTTATATTCATAATGTTATAATATAGATAAAGATTTTTTTGTATTGGTAGATTTATGAATCAGCTAAAACTCTTTCTGCTTGTAACTCATTTGACCATTTTAAACGAGTAATCAGAATTTTGTGAGGGGTTTTCCAGGTTGCAGGCTACCACAGGAGGTACCGTAGCCCTAGGCGTATGCGCTAAAAGTTTATACAGTGTTTGACAACACATTATGACTATGAGGTACCAGTGGTGGCAGGAGGTCCGACTGACAGGGAACTGAACCAAACCAAGGGGAAAAATCAGGGTCCCGGAATAAAAATCCCTGCTAGAGTTCATGGGAAGAGTTTTGATGGCTTAGTATGACCCAAATTGTGCTTTTAGATCACAATATTAATGATTGGCAATCTCAATAACGTTATTTGGATACGCAAATTAATTTTGGTCCGACGACGAGAGGGGAGGGAGGATGTCCAGGCCAGTCCGACAGGGCAAATTGTCCCTACTCCCTCCCCCGCTGGCGCCACCACTATGAGGAACCCCATAGGACTCGAAGAACAGCAATGTTTTATAGTTTTGGAACGTTTGCTTATTTTTTAATTGTGTTCTTATCGTGTTTATGTAAAAAGATTATATTATTGTTATTATATATGAAGTTTTGATTTCACCGCAGTCTGTTTAGATCTTCCTAATGCACAGGTTCTTTTTTCTATCATGACCCTACTCGAAGCTGGAAAATTAAGTAGATAACTTATTAATGTACTAATTCGTTTTGCGGAATTGACAAAATGTTAATTAAATACCAATTTGAGAAAATGATGTGTGATCGCCCACCGATGACGTAATTCAGCGTCCTTCTAATTCCCTTGGTAAAATAAAGGATGTAATTATATCATGGAAAAATTTTCGTCAAAGATTCCTTTTTAATTATGTTTGTCATCTGGGAATTTGGTGTAATGTATTAATGAAGAATGTACATGTTGTGTTGTATATGGACCTTGGTAAAGATAAAGGTGAAACGAACGCCAACACAGTTATAACGGACGTTCAGCCGAGTTAAGGCCAACTCAGACAGCGTCGGCCGACGCAGCCCGACCCGATTTACCGTCGGGGACAGTCTTAAGCCGTCGTGAGAAATACTAAACATGCTTAATATTCTACGACGCGACTGCCCCCGACGCACACCATGGCGTCTGCGTTCAACTCACACAGACCCGACGCGACAACAAATCACGTCGGGCTGCGTCGGCCTAAATATATTGCTGAATTATCTTTCTAAATATTCTTCCCCAAATACAATACATATCTGCCAACTAACGTCCGCTAATTATACTAATAATTGTACTAATTAAAATTACCACAGTAGAAGTCGCAAGTCGCCATTATCGTCAATAAGCTTCTTTGCACCCGGCCATAGATAATACAGTTAAACTTGCCTAAGTCGACTTTGAACTCGAATAACTTCCAAGTAGATCTTATTTTACATGCCAAATTTCCATTACTAATCTGTCGAATTTTATCGAAGTCAAACATTTTTTCAATGCCATTTTGAATACCGTACTACTTTGGCAATTCAACTGTAGAGTATATCATAAATTTCTTCTTAGTAGGCCCCAGCAATGTAATACGAGACTAGAAACATTGTTTTGTTGAAGACAACACTGACTGGTTTTATTAGGCAAAAACTACCGTAACCCAACCTATAGGATATCGATTAAAAAATGTTCCAAAAATTGGAGGAACTAATTATTGTACCTCCATTGCATCAGTGGTGGATTCAAGGGAGAACCGAGCTGTAACCCCCACCTCCCCCCCCCCCAATTTTCATGGTGGGGCTGAGGTTGTCTACAGTCTCCGCCAGTAAAATCCCTCCCTGGGCCCCCTCTGTTCCGAATATCTGGATCCGCCACTAGTATAAGTATTTTTTCTGGATGTTTTGAATGATTCTATCTGTGTCTGCGCCTCACCGCCATGTCAATGTAGGAACACATGATTTCTTTCGTCAAAGTCCCACGTCATCCTAAATAACATTTGGAATCTTCAAGCTATTAATAAAACATACTTTAATATATATATATATCGGTAAGTCATAGAACAGTCGTAAAGTCAACGTGTCTTGCACGTGGCGTTTTGAAACTTACGACAAGCATTAATGCGTCAAGTTCGTACGCGTTCCGTAAATTACCGTATGTAAGCTTTCTCTCATGTCAACACAAATCAATGAAGAAAATCAGTAAAAAAATTATTCCATAAGAACGATAAGTCACAAATAGGCCTAATACTAAATTCAATATTGAACAGCAATATACATAATTTATTTTATACAACACCTTACAAATGCAATAATTTTCTATTTACAGTACGCATTTCCCCTTATTTACAAGCATTGCACACACTAACGAAATACGCGTGCATTTCAAACCGCATTAACGGGAACCAATTGACAGCACGCCAGCTAGGTAAGGAATACTTCAATTTTATTTATATATTTTAGGCATAATGGGCCAAGGATTTCGAATACCACTATTTTAGGTAATATTGATGAAATTGTTTTTGTCAAATGGCATTAAAGCAAATAAATTAAGCAATAGGCCTATGTACAATACATCGAATATTTTCTGTTATTACATTCTAAAAACGCTGTCATACAACTGCTGTAAAAGCGCTATGAAAAATGCATAATTACTTAAATTTAAAAAATATTTACATTTCCAATTACTTTGGTTAACAAATTACCTTCTTAATTTTAATTAATTAACATTATATATAAATGTAATAATACAATTGTTGCCATTTATAAAGCGGTAGATATTTTGAAAATCCTTGTTCTTTCCCCAGCAAGAACGTATTGAACTGAAATTCTGAGAATATTGTAGGGTTTTGATTAATTTTACTATCACTTGAATGACGGCAATTTTTAGAGTTCGTTATTGTTCGAAATAGTGACCTTTTCGATTGCACGACGAAATTAGGTCTAGAAGATGACGTCACGAATGCGTGACGTTCACGTCGTCGCGCAAATCGAAAGATCCCTTTTGTCTGTCTTGGATGATGGAACTGACAGATGTAAAATAGCGCGAGTTATATTACCGGTATCGACGACTAAAAAGGTAATGGTAAGCAGCACGTGAATTCGAATGCTTAGATTCGCCTTCAAACAACTCTTTCGACGTTCGTTTGCAGCAGACCGTGAAGTCTTCTTCCATTTTTCGACTTATACCCGCTACGCATTTACTGAAGTTTCTCAACTGGGCTTCCACTCGTTTGTGGTTCAACCTCGCGGGCCAGGGCCCGTGTCGGGGAGAGCCCCCAGCCCCCGCGTCGCGGGGAAAAAGAAAAACACTTTGTTTGGGAGAAAAAAAATGTAGGCCTATATGTATTTTTTACATATGAGTAGAACCCAAAACCAATTAAATAAGTCTTTGAAACGCCTAAATTGTCATATTTTGAGGGGATTCTCCCCCTGGAACACTCTCGAGAGATTTTGAGCGACGCTCGACCACGCCCACTTTTTTTTCGTCGGGGGACATCGGACACCCGTCGGGCAAATACTGGGTCCACCACTGCGTGGGTTTAATGTTAGAGAACGCGGTACGCTCTTCGAAAAACCAGGGATTGCGCCATTCACCACCAGAAGGACCCCACTGGTTATATAGTCTTTGGACTTTCTTGGCCTTAGCATCATTAGTGTTTCACACCGAAGAAAACCAAATAACGTTCAAATTAGCGCAACTAAGGATTTGCCAAGTTTCTTTTGTGTTTGTTCAAACATGCCCATCGCTATTAATACCCAATGAGGGTCAAGGAAAGAATAGGTTTGGGCATGTGGTCAAATATATGACCACTTTAAAACACTAGTTCCATCTTACCTGAGCTTTTCTCTGTGTGATTCCGGTCGGCATGAATGGCCTTGTCGTGCAGCGAGAGCACCGAGTTCGCAGCAGGTCTGTGGAATCCTGACCCTTGATTCTGTGGTTGTCGGTTTCAATGTGGTAATCTGTGTCGTTGCTAGTTCAATTATCTCTGTTGTAAATGTTTCATCTTCTGCATCCAGGTCAGTGAGCGGGTTTGAACCATCACCACTAGCTACCACGGGAGTTTCAGTCAATTCAGCATCAGACGATTCTATTAAAAGAGGAAAATTACTTAGGATTAAAGAAATATAGGAGGTGAACAGTTCAATACACTACACTCAATTATGTTTATTCTATTTTCTATTCGTTGGTGGACAAATGCTCACAAATAAGCCTGCAGCAGTGGAATAAACTAACAGTAAATCTCACCCTTCGGGGTTGGATGTCTACTGCTGTACTAATCCCTTTCGAGGCCGTCTGTGTAAGACATAGCAGTACCTTACGTAGTTATTATGCATATATTTTTTTTTCTTTTTGCTACGTCTGCCCTCAATAAAATTGTGTAAAAAATAACGCAGGCCAGTAAAATAAACAATATTGACAAATCGATTATCACACGATATTCCAGCCTTGTGGACGCTGTGAAAGCAAACTGTCCTATTCATCCAGCTCCTGGAGTAAATCTGACAGATGTCAATCACTGAATTAAGCATAGCCTCTGACCCAGCACCTGAATACAGACAGTTAAATCATGGGGTTCAATAGGGGTGGCTCGATTATCACCTCATTCCTCAGTATCCCGATGTTGTCTAGAAAATAATCGCGATACCGTAGGCATGTATGCGGAATATGCAGCCCAGAATGAATACAGGATAGCGAAATTTTCTCATGCGCTCATGTAGGGTGAAAGGCATATTTAACATTACATCACAATATTCCTATCTACTCTGCCATACTCAACCCATGGTAGCTTATCTGTTTCCGATATAGGAATTGTTTCCGGGCCCAGACTCGATTTAGATTTTTAACAGCTAAAACCTAAACCCAGCCCAATTTCGGAAATTATTATGCCCACGTCGGAAACAGATAAGGTAACAGTGATTGTATTAGGTCTGATTTTGTATTCAGGATAGCGCAGCAAGGCGTGGTTGAATGGGCAGCTGGAGCCTGGGAGATTATCAAAACATGGATATATAAAAGCAAAAATTAAATGCATGCCTACTAATATATTTTTGCTGTTGATATTAAGTCTGCTATCTTTAAATACGTGGATTTCGCCCTATACCTTGATACTTGTTCTACGCATAAGTAGGCCTACATGTAACAACGAAAAGACGGACGAATACCAATAATCAATAATAACGATAATAGTAGGGCCTATGATCAAATATTTTTTATTTTGATTTCTAAAATATTATTTTCAAATAGATTATTTTTATTTCATTATTTATTATTATCGAAAATTGGTAGGCATATAGGTAAACGTCGCTAGAGAGGCCGCCCATAACAATACATTAATCTAAATATATAACTGTGCCACACATCAAAAACCGCCTTACATTAAATACTTAATATTACTGTACTACATTGGAGCAACTAGATATATTGATTCAACTATTGTTTCCCTATGCGTGTGACCGTTTTCCCCAGCAATCCAGGTACCCCACAATACCGTAGTTCATAATTGCAAAGGGGTGTTGGTAGGATTAGTCAAGCTGAAGGATTGAGTGATTAATAAATTAACTTCTTTCAGGCCCATGTTATTTATCTATTATTGTTTGTATTTACTGTTTGGTTCTGGGCCTTGTTTTTCTTGTGATTTTTGTCTATGGAAGGAAACTAGATCTTCCGAAATAAAAGTTGAATTGAACTGAAAAGCAAACGAGAGAGAAAAAAAAAATTCTCGGCCTAGATTTAGGGCTAAGGTCGGAAAAAACGGACTTGGTGTGCGGCGCCAAAAATATGTCCACGTCACCATAACAACACGTGCTAGTCTTCAATCATCTCTGACCACGTGTTTTCTGCTCTATTATGACCACTTATCGAATTGTTACAGAGCGGAATATCCTTTATTACATAATTAAACATAAGCCTAATGCATGAGTATATCGAAGTAATAAAAATAACTTTGAGTCCAAGTACTAGAATCGTATTTAATTATTATAAACATTTTTTTAAACTGCGAAGCCCACAGCACCTCCCTGGGCGAAGTAAACACCGCCACATAGAAAGTCCCACTGCACACGCGTATGTTTACATGAGACGGGTCAAATAGGGGTGTGTTGCAGGTACGGTCTTATCTGACCAATCACAGCACTCCGCTCGTACTTGTTGACTATTTCAGTGTATGCAGCACCGTTCAAGAAGTTTCCCTAAGTCTGGACCCTAGATTTCGATGTTTAACACCACGCACATAAATCGGATTCTTTTATTTATGACATAGTTCAGCAGAAAATAGGGACCTACTCAAATTTTTTTTTTTCATGAGGGAATAGGATACCTTGATTTTCATCAGTATTTTGTAAATTTTACAAATGTAGGCCTACTAATGACATTCATTGCCGAAAGAAAATACGTATTATTTTATGATAGCCAAATTAAAAATTGAATGAAATACAAACATACGATTTCTTAACATGAATGCGTTGATTAAATTAACGTCAAATAGCTGCATCACCTTCTTAAATGGTAAAATGATGAAAAAATAATTGTATGGCAAAAGGTACGCCTATACAAACAAAAACATACATATTAGAAATAGTCGCAGGATTAAGAAACCACAAAATAACGTAAAAAGGGCCTATATAAAAAGTAAAGAAATCATAGATTAATGAAGACTTACCTCCATAATCACTACTGAAACTGGATAGGCGAGCTGATCCGACTGTTGTAAATAAATAAAATAGTGGAAATAATGTCGTAAATGGAATCTGCATCTTGTCGGTTTTCAGTTTTCTTGGTAAAATATTAAAGTCTTGAGTCAATCTCGTCCAAGTGGTTTACGTCTACTCGCTGCTAGTGCACTGACTAAACAAAATCTACAAATCGAGAGAACGATGATGTTTATATAGGCTCTGTTGTCACGTGGTAGAGATGACGTACTACAACAACAACCAAGGTCTTTGCATTACGGAGTATGGAGCACGCGCTATCAGTTGACGTATATCACCTGTCGCGCTGTATGCTTTTTTTTAAATTGAGTGCCGCTGTTGACAATTCGAAGGAGTCAAAGGGAAGTAGATAATGAGGTATGGGCGTTTGAAACGGATTTACACACCATACAGTAGTTGTACTAGTTCATTCAACTTACTCCTTCCCAGTGATTATTCGCATTCTTGCTAGAAATACACTGCCTTTCTGTTTTTACATAAAATAATAATTATTATTATCACACAGCAAAAATAATAAAAACAACAAATACACAAGGTGGTTTATATTCCAAGATCTGTTGTCATGAAACGCCAATAGTTTTAAACTGGGAAAATTGTTATTTTGTTCTAGGGTCTGGAATTAGAGGGGTCTCGGAATTAGAGAGGTCCCGAGTGTGCACAATAAATAATAATTAATAAAATAATAATAATAATAATAATAATAATAATAATAATAATAATAATAATAATAATAATAATAATAATATTTCACTAGACAACAAATGATAATAGTAATAAGTATATAATCTTATTCTTTTATTATTAAAAACATACAAGCCCGGCTTCTAAGTGAACTCTGACATATCAAATTATCCACTTCCATCTAGTAACAAATACAAAAAAAAAATCGAATAGTAAAATATTCAAGAAAATGTAATAAAAAAATACTTATAAAGAGGGCATATCCTCAGAAACCAGGGAACAGTGAAATTTGTAATTTCACTGTTCCCTGTTAGAAACAAATAAAAAAAAAGTTAAGAACCGTAATTATAGCGTAAGTGAAATATCAGGCTCGACAATACTTTTATCTGTGCTTATATTGACGTAGATTGTTTGAAGGCGGTTATTTTATGATTAATCATTAATGCTGTCGATGTGCCTGTGCCAACAGTACAATATAGTATAGTACAGTACCGTACCAAACACACATATATAAACACGAGCCATCTAATAACACATGCGCACTACTACAGATCATCACGTAGCAAAACGGGGTGGAGCGAATACAGTCGATCACTATTGGTTATGTTCCCTGTCACGTGACAATAATATTTTGCTTTTGATATTGGGTGTAGCTGTGATGGCCGAGTGGTTAAGGCGTTGGATTTGAAATCCAGTGGGATTTTCCCGCGAATATTGTTAGTGTCGTTATTATTCACCAAGAAAAAGTTTCCCTTAACCTCCCGTGCTTACGTACATACTAAAAGGAGCTAAGAATGCTTATAGTAGGATGCTCAGTCCATGCAATATTAAGATCGGTATGGCGTCTTTTTCGTCATGGCTATGGCACTGGTACTTCGGGGTGACTCTATGCTTACATTAAAAGAGGGGAAACCTAGGAAATAAAATTGATATAATGGCGTCTCTAGGAATATTGACATGGTTCCCTGGGGAGGTTTGGGTTAACTGGAGGGGATCGGTGAGTAAGGAAAGGGGGTGGGTTGCTAGGTAAACATATGAGGAATTTTGTACCTACTTAAACATCTTTTTTTCTTAGGCCAGCAAATCTCCAGTTAGGGGTCAGGGTGGGGACGCAAATATTTTCTCGTCCGGCACTGCTAAAAAGCCAGTTGTCCCTTACACATTTTTTGATGAACCGACTGAAGCATATTCATTTAATTGTCCAAGCAAGTCAGCTTTGCCTTTTTCCTCTTCAATGTTCGTACCAAGTACTGCGTTGGTCGCCCGATATTTGTAGTTATTGTGTATTTATTATGTTGATTCATGGGGCATTCAGGACATCCTAAGCATATGCTTACTTATAATATTCGTGATGCAAAATGGAAATTTCTAATGCTTTATATAGAATAGAGTTTGCATGATACAGTTCAAATAACGTTATTGCCTTTGATGGAATTATGTTTTATTAGTGTTTCGAAACACACTATGGAGAATATTTCACAAGACTGCGATATACCTCCATCAGTGCAGAGCATGTTCGGTTACCAGCATGTTCAGAGTCATTGAGAGTACAGAGAGACGTTGAGGGCGTACGGGCATAAAATGAATTTTGTCAAGTGTCCATTGATTTTGAAACCGCAGCTAGCGTAGCAAAGTAGGCCGCATCGGGAGACATACACTGTACTGTATTACAGTACCCAAGCGGAATTACCCTATTTTGCTTAATTTTAAAGTAGATAAATGAGGTTCAGGGAACCAGAATACACCTTGGTTTTTTTTGTTTTTTTTTAAATCTTTTTAAACTTTTATTGCAATTTACAGTTTATCAAAATTTTTGACTTATTATTAACTGTCTTGTTCCAATTTTAATTACCTTTTAATTTCTCATTTTAATGAAATGCATTTAATTGTTGTTTCGCATGTGTTTTGTTCATTGTATGTTAGACTATACGGTAAAGTGACTGGTCTTCTTTATAAAAGGGGAAGGGGTTTAATTACCCCCCCCCCCAGTACCACCAAAATAGATTCGGTTGTTTGTAAAAGTTTGACTGGCAATCAGAAAGCAGTAGATTGCACCGCCTAATCGGCTCGAAATGTATTTATCTTACCACCACTGCTTATCCCAAGATTTTGGGATTTTTAATGACACATTGAAGCAGGGACCTTGGGATTTTTTTTTCATTGAATAAGTGGCACTTTTTGGACTGATACGAAATTTTATTTTTATTTTCTTTTATATCATGAAGACAATTTAAAAAATGACAAATAAAAACATTATAATGAAAAAAAAAATACTGCGTAGCACAATATTTGACAGTTGTGAAGGTGAGGGTTGTTCATTTAAAAAAAAAATCAAAACCTACAGGTTACACCTATTGGAAGTTAAGTAGTTGCTTTCGTTCTTCTGAAAAAGGGGGTCTGTTGTTTAAAGCCATTATAAACTTTTTTTCCAAACTATGGGTCGCCAACACATTTCCTAGGGTCGCTAAACTGCTTCTGACAACAAATAGAAAAAAAAACCAACTTAAGTCTCTTGTTGTGTCCCATTTGGCAGAATAATATTGTTTGCTTCAGATCCGAGTGTAGATTTAAAATAGCTGAGCAAAGATACAACACCTAGACGCCAGGAAATGACACCCTTACATGCTTTTAATTTTTTCTTAATTGCAGGTTAGGCCTAGGCCTACTTTATACTTGCCACAAGCTCAATAAAACTTAAATCATACTTAAATTAGAGAGTTAATTTATATTCATCAAATATATTTTATTCTTACACCTCCCGAAATCAACCCATTTTGGTCCGAAAGTGGGGAAGATCGAGATAACATATGCCCCGCGAAAATTTTGTTTTCACGCCCAAAAACAACCTCTGGGGCGTTTTAGGCGACCATTTTTTTTTTTAAATTTCATGATTTTTATTTTACTTTTCAAAATGGTGGGTGGGAGGGGGAGGGAGGCAGCCCGCCTTCCCCCCTAAATCTTCCCCTGGTTAATAAATAATAGTTACATCGTGTTTATGAGTTCTTTTCTTTTTGAGTTCGTTTGAGCTTTATTTTTCAATTAGTATTTACCCATTCAGCCTCGCCCAAGTCGAGTATGCATAATTCGTCATTGTTCTATTATTGTTTACATTAATAAACATGTCAAATTTACGACTGGTACCGTTACCGTACTGGTACTCATGGTATTGGGTATTTATATTGCGCATTTCCCTTGTGGTTATGAAGCGCAAGCCAAGCCTAAAAAAATTCAGAAAAACAATGGTAGGCATAAAATCAGTCATTATTCAGGAACCCCATGCATTACAATAGTAGGCCTAGAGCCACACTCAGCAAAGTCAAAAAAACATATTACAACAATAAAAACACAAAAGGAAAAAGCAGCAAAAGAGGCTGTAGTAAATATTCTCCATAATATAAAATGGAACATTCCGCACACATTCGACGATAGCACATACCACCTCGTGTACTTTGAGTACTGTGTAAATAAAAAATCGAAACGATTTATCACAGTCACTTTGTATTCAAACGACCCAAGTTGACTGCAGAGATTTAACAACATATTTTTATTTGATTAATTAGACGGGGCAAGTCCTCTATGGCTATCGAATTATACTAGCTTAGGAATACTGAAAAAAATAAATATGTCAGAAAACAGCATTATGATTTAAGTTTTATTGAGCTTGTGGCAAGTATAAAGTAGGCCTAGGCCTAACCTGCATTCGGGTTCCCATTGAATCCGAACCGAAATTCGGACCGTGTTTCCGATGCGCTGAACGCGCCTGCAACGCTATTCTTACATAATGGTAGGTCTAGGCCCACTGATTTTATTTTCTGATGGGATGGGAATGTGGGTCGCAAAAATAGGGAGTATGCAAGTGGGTCGCCACCTAAATAATTTTGAGAAGTAGGGGAGTAAACCATTTTACAGTATAACGATAAATAAATGAAATAACAGTCAAAATACAATTATTTATACATAATACGGTACTGGATAGACGAAGTGAACGTGCCTGTGGGCTTAGACCTATATTTACGTCAAGAAAATAAGCATTACCAACCTGCCTATTTTGAAGATGACGACAGTACTTCACTTGACTTTGTAGGAAACGGTTAAGAACCTAGCGATTTATGCTGCCAAAGAAATATTTCTCTTGCGTGTGCTGGCGAATTTTCCATAAAGTCTCCATCGCTGATCGCGTTCTTTCTTAGGTCATATTCATTTCACGTGCACGACAGGTGCTGCTTGTCGCACCAATGCATGCATTTCACACACAAAGAGCTCGCGTGCGTTCCACGTGATATGAAAGGCCAAAGCTGCGGTTATAAAAACTAACCTGTTGGCCCTAGGTAAAATGATGACAAAAACTAACGGATCGTATTGAAATTTTTATGCTGATAATTGAGTGGGCTAAGCTTATATTAATCGTGTATTTAAATACAATGATTTTTTGGGGGGTTTTATTTCTATGTCGTGCCTTCGGATGTTGCATAAAATGACATTAAAACTATTGTTAAACCAGTGTACATTAATATTTATTATCATTATCATCATCTGCATCAATCCTTGTTATCATCATAATCTGCATATCTTCATTATCTTCATCAATATCATCATCATCATCGTTATCGTTTCATCATTATCGAGATCATTAGGCCAAAAAAAAACAGGCCTATGTTGTGTTACCCTCCGAAATTTTCGATAAAAAAAAAAAAAAATAAATAAATAAATAAATTTTGTTCAAGGAAAAATTCGAGAAATACCACTTCCGAAATTAACATTTTGAACATAAAATCTAAAACAGACAGTTTTTATCAAAATCGGGCCATAGATGCACGCGTAAAATCGGTAAAATAGAAGGCATAATTTTGAGAACCGAGCACAACCACGATATAGGCACACAACATCGGATCTCTTGCGCTGAGCTGTAAAGCCACGGCCAGATCTAGGCCTAACCTATTCTTTACTACTGTACAACAAGTGGTTGCTAGAATCAAAATTCGTATTCATTACCTTACCTTATTTCTGATTGGACAATAAATAAAAACAGGCTTAGTTCTAGCCATCGCTTTAAAACCGGTACATAGCTAGACATTTTCGGCTCCGTTACAGTTTAGGCCAACCATAAACGAAATAGGCCTACAGTATTTTTTTTTTTCCCCGATTTTTTTTCGATTTTTACTTCGATTGTATTACATAGAGGGCGCTTGTTTGGACATTTCTGATAGCCACAGTATGGTTTTGCTCGACCTGGGTGATCGTGTGGATCGGATACACTTTACGTTTTGAAGCCAAATAATTCTTTCTTTAAACTGATTTATTTTTGTTAAATTTATTTCAGTATACACTTGGTTAGTATTTACTCCGTCATTACTTAGAATATTGTTTTGTTTGGCAAGCTTGCAATCGTTCTATTGTGGTGCCTACAAGCCCTAAGGCCTAGGGCTTTTATAATAAATAGGCACTGCAATTTCAAGCCTATCCTATTTCAGGTTGGCCCTATTACTTTAAATAAACTATAATAAGTAAAATAAACTATTCAAAAGGATGAATTATCTACGAGACGCATATCGAAACAGTTCAGTGGGGGGGGGGGGGGGTGGGGTTTACCCCGGTGTACTGGACCAACAGCCCCTGTGTGATGGAATTTCCACTTTGAAGAGTGATTTAGTTCACTGTTTGGCATCCTTGCTAGTGCATTAAGCTAATAAATAAAATAAATAAATACGAGAGATGGTTTGAAATTGTCTAGGCGCGACTTTTTTTTTAATTTCTTGTTTCGCGAACTTATAATTTTAAAGATCGTCAGAGGCGGGCGGAAAAAAAAATGTTTTCTTATTAAATAAATAGTTTTACCTAAAAACATCTAATCCCAACGGAGTGAATTGGATTGGATTTATACCAAGGATAGAACACGGATGTCTAGAAGAAGACTTATTTTCCGTGAGGTCTTTCTGGTGGTGATTGTGGCAGTACACGGGTAGACAATTCCCCACTCTTTTCCGAAGAATGTACTGCGTTCTTTAAAGTGCACATGGGCCATCAATGCACATGGGACCAACGGCTTAAACGTCTCATCCGACGGACGGTTAGCTATTAGTAACTTGTATTTCATCCCTCCAGCTGAAACACAAGGAGAGGCAGCGATGGGAATTGAACCGGGACCTAGAGATGCACGGTTTACACACAGTGGCTCCAGGTTAGCCGACTGAGCTAAAGAGGATAAAATAAAAATAAAATGTTATTGTCGAATGTAAAGAGTGTAGTAATAGGATGTTTAAATGCTTTAAATTTATATAAGAAATATACTAATTGGCCAAAAAACAAAATTTTATTTTTATTCAAAATTGTTAGTAGGCGGGTTCGCGAAACACGGTATCGCCTTCAGAGACATGAGACACTGGGAATATAAAAATCGGAAAAGCTTGCTTTCGATTATCGTTCTCCCCTCTTTTTTTTCCCCTTTTCTTCTCTCATAATTAGGGGGTCCATAACCCACATTGCACCCATATCTTTTCCCTAATTTTAGAGGCCTTAGCCCTCTATGCACCCCCACCTTCGACCCGTCCCGACCTAAGAACCCAGGCCTATGTCTTTATATGGAATGTTTTATGATTCACACTCATGTATCCGACAGGGTAAATTATATGAGTGATTGAACAGAAAACCGCAAGTTTCCCCTTTCAAAAAAGAGTTTAAATACGTTTCGACTTGAGTTCAGTTTCAACATTAAATTTATTTTCTCGATGTTGCAATTTTCATATAAAAAACAAGTCGACAACAATACATTATTCTTTCACTTTTTGAAACGATAGTTCAATTTTGAAGAAATCAGTGGCAGGCTTTGCAGATAGAGTTACGTGTCTGCACGTTCGCAATTGTTATTGTGAACAGAGAAATAAGCTAATAATATAGCATATTCTAAGAAAATAATAACACGATAAGTAGCACTGTAGGCCTACGTGCAGTGATAGGGATAGTCACATAATAATTATGTTGTTCGCAAATTGTCAAGTATTGAGGTGAAGTCAAAGCAGGTCTAGTCCGTAAAAAAACCAAATAGGCCTATAAAGATGTAAGAGTTAAGTTAATTATGATTTTTCTCAGGATTGAACTAACATTTTAAATGACTGAACATCTCAGGCCCTGAAGAGCTAAAACTGTTCTCAATACCATTGAAAGCGCAATCAGGGGAAAGACTCACATGTGGGTGACTTTGTAAGGGGGACATTCCTCAGGGTGGGTGGCGGGGGGCAGCTTGACTGCCATGTTCAATCGTATATATCCATTGAGGTACAGAACGTCACGACTGATTAAATCATTCCTCTATTGAGGAATGATCAGGAGGATGATTAATTTATCATTTATAGGCCTAAGTAA